ACTTACTTGGTCTCTTTTCCATTGTAATGATTCAAATTTATTTAGACTTTATACAGTAGTTCGTATTGATGCTTATTGCTGCACTTGGTCTATGGAACATTGATGTTCTGGAACTCATTTTATAGGCCCCATGAGTAAGCTCTGTTGAGTTATCTAACACGTTTCTATGACGTAACCCCAAATATTTGACCAATGAAAAGACGTTGATTATTTGGTTTATAGTAGGAGCAGTATATAGTGAGCATTGACTTAAAAATTCGGGTTGTTGTGGTTGTGTACCTCCTTTCGGATATTTCAAAATCCGTATCTTTACACTTTGGCAGAATAACATTCTGGTGCTTTTCCGTTGACCTTAATGTCTTGAAACAATTACTGGTATCGAAATTAATAAGCCGCCTTTGTTCCACACATACCACTGAGCATCATAAACCCAGAAATTTCCATGAGGAAATAATAAGTAGGCCTTTGTCATAATGATACCTCAAAACTTTCGATTAAAGTGCTGGCCGCACGCAATGAAGGATGTTTCTGAAACATTAGCCTATAGCCAAGAGAAAGCAAATATTTTAATAACCAAATGTTTTGCCGTGTTTATCAGTTTGATATTATATAATATTCGGACGCTCTGCCTGAGACAAGTTGTCAGGTTGATTGATGTCATAGGTCTAAATCAAAGTATATCGAAGTGGCTAAACACCAGAACGAAGACCCCCATCATTCATGATTGGTGGCGGATCGAGGAATTCGAAATAGAGGGGTCACAGGGATCGACGTTCACAGATCATAATTTATGATTATGGCGCCTCTGATGGCCGGAAATTGCACTCTTTGACTTAAATTTGATTATGATTTTACTTTTTTCTCCATTTCTTTATAATTCAAGGCCCCACTCCTTGAATCCACCACTGATAATGATCATGTTTACTTAGAACACATACATTTCTTCCATGATTATACATTGGTGTCTAAAAGGAAGACCAACCTTCCTAAAACAAAGAAACGTGGAAAAACATCATCCTGTATTATTGTATTATTATTATTATTATCATCATCATCATCATCATCATCATCATCATCATCACCACCACCACCAGATTATCGGCTATACCTAAAATGATTTATGCAAAAGAATTAAGTGATATTTAGTTTCTGTACGTAAATTGGCAAGAACAAATATTTTCTTATTCGATTTTTCAATCTATACCTAATTCTAATATATAAATAAGTCATTTAGATATTGAATTTAATTTGTCAGGGGTTTTAATGGATGCACATGTGGTGCGCTTGATTGTGGACTATAGCAACTCGTTTAGTGACTTTCTTCACCTCAGGCTCCCTTCGTTCTCTGCTACCTGGTAAACCGGTACCAGCAACTCTGGCGAGTGCGTGACAACTCTACGTTTAATAATTTGTAGATTCGTTATTTAATATCTCCTTCATCCGTGAAAGTGTATTTTTTATTTTACAATAATTTAATTGATATCAGGAACTAAAAAATGCCCTTAATGGTTCATGTATAGCTAAAATCAGAGGCCAGTGACCATTTTCGGGAACCAAGGTTTCTCTATTGATTTAGCATCTCTAGGGTATAAATAACAAAAAAAATTAGCAGGTAGTGAGAGGGGGGGGGGGAGGACCTCCAGAAAAGGTCGGAACACATTTTTGGGCTGCCACTTTTAAAGTGGTCGCCATAATTCAGATATTTGCTAATAAATTAACTTAGGCCCTATACGTAAACCCCAGACAAATCAGTCTCATTATCTTTGGGATATGAAATTATAAATTATCCATTACCTCCAATTCCATTACGTAACCCCAAATATTTTACTAATAAAAATACGCTAATTATTTGGTTTATAGTAGGCATGGTTTATAATGAGCACTAAATTAAACATCCGGGTTGTTGTGGTTTTGTGTACCTCATTCCGGATATTTTCAAAATCCGTATCTTAATGCTTCGGTAGAATCACATTCTGGTGTTTTTCCGTTGACCTATGGCTTAAAACAATTATCGAAATTAATTGCTTTTAGATATTGCCAGCTATTCTAGGTTTCTCTTCCCCCTATTCCAGACATGTAATGAGATGTCACTGCATTTGGCCGACAGACAGTTGACCGAAAGAACATTCACCGACACCAGAATTCGCCGAAACTGAATTTTCCGACTGGACGATTCGCCGACAGCCGATTCAGTACTTTTTGTTTTTTCTAATACTTGAACGACTTATTTATGACTGAACTTATAATTTTCTCCAAAAAAATAACATATTACACCCTAATCAATTTGGTATTCGCAAAAGTTATAATACACTAACTGCACTTCTGCAACTCACAAATGATATTGTTAGAGCCTTTGAGAATCATAAACTTTCAATTGGTATTTTTATTGACCTTTCTAAGGCTTTTGACACTATCGACCATGATATTTTACTTTATAAATTTTCATATTGTGAATAGACGGCTGTGCATATACTATTTTAAAAAGCTATTTAACTAATCGTAAACAATACACAAAATTTTAATTAAACCTTGTCTAATTTCCTACATGTTACCTGTGGAGTCCCTCAAGGATCTTTGCTTGGCCCCCTTTTTGTTTTTGCTTTACATCAACGGTATATGCAATTCTTTCAAATTATTTCTTTTCATTTATATCCAGATGATTCTCCATTCGGTTAATGATATAGACTCCCTTTTTTAAATTTCCAATGATAATTTACTTAATGTTCTCAAATATTTCTCTGCTAATAAACTCTCTGTCAATTAAACTCAACTGTCAAGTGCGATTGCATTATCTTTCAAAATGTCATAGACCACTTGATAATTACATAAATCAACTCAAAATTAATAATCAGGTAATCCCCCTTGTTAATGAAACCAGGGAACAGTGAAATTACACTGTTCCCTGATGAAACTAAATTTTTAGGTGTTGTTATTGATAGCCGTTTAAGATGGAAAAAACATATCTGAAGTTGAAAATAAAATTGCTAAAAGTATCGGTATTATTTACATGTTATCCTCTTTTGTTCCCCAAAATATTCTCCCTGTTTTATACTGTTCTTTGATCCTTCCCTACCTGAATTACTGCAACTTGGTCTGGTCCAACACTTAAACTTTCCATCTTAATAAATTGTTACTCCCTCAGAAGAAAGCCGTTCGAATTATGTCGGGCGCACCTCCGCGAGCCCACACCGATCTTTTATTTTCCTCCCTTGGTCTTCTAAAAATCATGACATCAATCATCTTCAGCAATGCGCTTTTATTTTTTCATGAGTAAATTTCTCTCTCCCCCTTCAATTCAAATCATTAATTAATTTTAATTTTGATTATCATAGTCATTTTACCTGCTCTTCAAATCATCTTCATATTCCTTTCATAGAACCACTTCTTTCCAGCACAATATTCAATATACTGGTCCTAAGCTATGGAACAATCTCCCTCACTCCATGTATGATTCCTACTCTAAAAAAAACTTATGTTCAAGACTGAAAAAACACCTCTTATCAAGTTACGCATAATTTTCTCCTTTTACCCATTATCGATCTCCATTACCAACTCGTTACCTTTTTTTTTGGTCCCAAAATTATAAAAGAAAAAAAATTGCATCTCTGAGCATCCTCGTGTTGTCTGCTTTGTCTGTCTTGTCTCCTGTTGTCCTGTCCTGTCCCCTGTTGTCCTGTCCTGTCCTCTTTTTTTTTGCTTTGGTTTTTCTGTGTGTTTATTTCAGGGCTGCCCTACACAAGCTCCGCTTTCTGGTTTCGCCCCTCAAAATTGGCTGGTTATTTATTATTTCATATATCCATTATTATTACTTTTGAGAAATAAATGTTCTTTTGAACTTGAACTTTGAACCGACAGCCAATTTGTCGACAACCAATTCGCTGACAGACATTTCGCCGACAATTCTTTTTGTGATGTCGTGATTGATGTTTCTTTGACAGATGTTTCGTTTTGTGGAGGACTGGGTAATCATCATGGAAAGTCGTTATTTTTAAATACATACAGACAGACACACTTTCAATAATATTAATCATGCAATACAAGATTCTGCTAAAATGTTAAATACAGGCCTATAATATACACAAGTTCATATATATTTTAAATAAATATAGAAAATAATTAGCTTTATAATTAAAGCAATATAAAGGGCAATTTTTTAAATTGGTACAAATTGAGATAAAAATGAAGACAGGATACAAGATACACGGTGTGACTTTACTGCAAATTTAAGGAAAATTGTAATGTACAATATACTTTAAAGTAATAAGAATGGTTGTCCATAAAAATCAAAGATTTGGTGGAAGATGTAAAAAAATAGATTTCTCTCAAATTTTTACCATGAATAGATACTTGGATAAAAAGCATAACTATGACATTTGTTTAATTTTTTAGCCTTCGTTGTCATGGCAACGACCCATTATCTAAATTTTATCGTTTTTGTCAATTTTGGACATTTTCAAAAGTGAAAAAACACTGACTTTCAGACCTTATTTAACAAAAAGAACATGCACTATATATATTTTTGTGATCATCCATGTAAATAACCAGGTATTAACGTTCATTTATCGCAAAAAAAAAATTGTGTAAAAAATTCTGTTTGGAAGATACCATTATTTACAAAAGGGGTTTTTCTCAAAATATATATTTTTTTAAAGTATGCCTCAGAAACCTATCTGTAGCTTCCAAAGTGGTGCACACATATCCACTATCTTCCACATTTTGATAGTCAATAGTTGTCCAAACAATAATCAAGAATAAAAGTTGTGGGTAATTTAAACACGTGGATGCGGTATTGCCAGAAAAAACGTCATTTTTTAAATAAAAATATATCATTTTTTACTGAATGGATAACACTATACATCAACATAAATTTATTCTAAAATAATGTTACTATAGTTACATAAATAGTCTAACAACATGTTAAGAAATGTGTTGCCAAGCTCATTTCAAGTAATTTAAAACTTAATTTTGTACTGTATGCCAGAAAACAGCATTGTTTTTATTGAAAATTAACATAAATATAGG